AGCCTCTGGGATTCCTATTAAACAATAAACCATAAGGTGTTTTCTGTCTGATACAGTCGTGCTTGGAATTATCACTATATTACAATTATGCATGAAAAAGCACTTCTCTCTTTAGGTCAAGGAAGTCCATGCTTAGTGGATCTTCTATCCCACATGATGTAGAACATTTGGTTAGGTAGTCAATAAATGATACAGTCTCTGAGGTGGGCAGGATCAAGTTGGAGGGCAGAAGACATGGAAATCTATCCATGCAGCTATCAAGACTTTATAGAGAATCTCGTAGATTTCCTCCTAGGAGGCAAAAAGAGCTAATTTCCTTAATTTCACACAAGGAGAATTAAGTCCAGTTTTCAAGGGAAGACACTGGGGTCTGGAGGAGCCCGCTGACACACATTGAAGACTGTGGGTCAGACCTCTGTCTAGCCCTACAATCTAAACATGTGTTTATCAGGGATGATTTGTAACTCATTCTTTTCTATCTCTGAGATGACCGAGAGATTCCAGTGTCCAAAGACTGGTGCACCATTCTTGTGGGCACAGTATATGTCATCTTAATGACTGGTTGAAGGATTAAATGGGGCAACAATTACCATCCCTAGGTTGTAGGTACCAACAAATTTTGAATTGGTATCTGCCGCTTGACGGTGTCACTTGTATTAGGTGTGACAAGTTGTAATCTGAACTAACACCTAATTTAGATACTAGTTCCTTGCAGGCCCAGCCTCCCACTCCCAGTGTACCTGCTCCACAATTATTGCTGTCTTGCCTGCCAAAGTTCCATTAAGGGCTCCTGGCGCTTGCGTGGATACTCTACTAAATTTAATCCCCCAAAATGACTTCTTCTTGCCAACTGGGCACATCAAACCGAAGAAATAATGTCAGGCAGATATAAAGGAATCTGTTTTATCGAAACATACGGCAGAAACAAATGAGAAGAAGGGCTTTTTTTCCTGGTGTGATTTTGTACACACACACACACACACACACACACACACACACAAAATCGGTTTTATTGTCAATTCAAATATTCATGTCAAAACAGACGACATTGCCAATAGGTTGACTACAGAGAAACTGATAGCCTTTGGCTGGTTCTAAGACAGGGGTTTGGCCATGTCCCAGTCTGGGAGGGCAATGTAGTAAAGTCAGCGAAGGGTACACAATGCACTCTGCTCTTCCACTAATCTTGGATGATCTAGACCAGCTTGGTGGCAGTAAGAGGTACATGGCTGTCCTTCCCCATGCTCATACTTAGAACCTTCCAGTAGGATCCTTGAACCCAGCATGAGGTGAATCTTCAATGCAGGCCACTCATAAACTGAGTTATTTGGCACTGCCTCTCTGGATGGTGCTTATCTGTTTGTTTTTCCACCACCTTAAATAAATAAGTTTTGAAAATCCTGATCATTGACTCAGATGGAGCCATCAGAAATCTGCTTCAGTGGACCCCAACCCCATTCCCCACCTCCATGACTTTTTTTCCCAAGAGCTAAAGATTTGCATTGCGATGTAGTTCTCAATAGAAGATGCTTCCTGGCAAAACCCAAGGCTTTGTTTTCTCCCTAGAGGTTGATGAAAGGAAGCACAGACACACAATAAGAACTGGTTTCCCAAGGATCTGTCTTGCCCGGCTTGGTGACCTTTGACCTCCCCCAGGGGGACATAAGGTTACCGTGATTGTACTCTGGACTTGTACACCAGAAGCTGTGAACTCAAGACTAGAAGCAGTAGATGGGATTTAGTGGATGAGGGCAGCTCCCTAGGCAGAGAAAATAACTAGGTGATCTTGCCCACCAGAACCCCCAATTAGCAGTTATTTATAGCCCACTGGCCGGCAACTTCAATTACCTCGTTGGATATATTCATATTCACATGGTGTCTTCCTCAAATATAAATCGCCTGTGGTAGGCTGGCTCTCAGAGGAACAAGAGGAGTTTAGAAAAGGAATGTTCGTGTGTGTGTGTGTGTGTGTGTGTGTGTGTGTGTGTGTGTGTGTGTGTGGGTGTGTGTGTGTGTGGGTGTGTTAACATTTGTGCTACAGTCCAAGCTGGACAGGAGAGCTGTCAGCAACTCTCTGGCACCCACCCAGGATGTCCTCCATTCAGGGCAATACAGATGGGCCTCCGGCCAGACAGCCACTTATCTGCCTGCCCTTACCTTCCAGCTGTTTCTACATCAGCGTCCCACACAACATCACCCAGCCCCAGTCTCCCTTATTTCGTGGGAAACCTTCACCAACCTCACTCCAAACGCCCCTCATTTCCAAACTGGCTGTTCCCCAGGCTTACCACGACACTGGGAGAGTCTCTTTGCTGGAGAAGAAAAGGAGGGCAGGATGTTGGAAGGAAGCTCTCCTCGACAGATGGGAATGAGAGTGCTGTGACTAACTGGAGGCAATAAAGGTGTTAGCGAATAGCAAGAGGGGAGAGTGGGCGCCGCAGAGTGTTAGCTGTCCTGCGTGCTGCGTGCTGTGCCCGTGCCAGCGAGCTGCCTGGCTAAGCCTCTGTATTAACAGCGTGTGACTGTGGCACATTCACAACCTACTCGTGCCTTTGTCAGCATCACATGATCTGGTGAGTCTCTGTCCAACTAAGGAGGTTAATGGCTCCTTGTCGTCTATTTGTCCTGGTCATCGCTTGTGGCTTGTGCCCTACTCCCTTGCTTTTCTCTTCCTTATCCCTACTCCACTTTGCGTTATAGCCCTCATTCTTTATTTTTAAGATTTATGTTTATTATTGTGAGAGAGAGATGATAGGCAGAGACAGAGAGAGGGGGAGAGAGAGGGGGGAGAGACAGAGAGAGACAGAGAGACAGAGACAGAGAGAGACAGAGAGAGAGAGAGAAAGACAGAGAGAGACGGAGAGACAGAGAGAGACAGAGAGACAGAGACAGAGAGAGAGACAGAGAGACAGAGAGAGAGAGAAAGACAGAGAGAGAGACGGAGAGACAGAGAAAGAGACAGAGAGAGAGAGGAGAAATACATGTGTGGAGATTCAGTGTAGAACAAATGCCGTTGAATCTCCTGGCGCTGGAATTACAGGCTGCTGTGAGCCATCTGATGTATGTGTGCTCGGGACTGAACTCAGGGCCAGCAATGTATGTTCTTAGTCATTGAGTAAAGTCTCCAGGCCTCAGAGTTTCTTAAAGGGGAGCCTTGTCCTGAAGGTCAAGCCCATGTGAAGAAAGTAATGACGCTGTCATCAGAGACATCTAGCCAATGCTCCCAGTGAAGAAAACCCACTTCTTGCCTAGAATTGTGTTTATGATGTTTACATGGCTCTTACAGTGAGAACTCCGGGTGAACAGGAGTGTCGCTCAGTTGGAGTTTATGTGGTGGTCTAATTTTAATCTCAAGCTCTGCAAAAAGCAGACAGATGAGCCCCGAAGATACCATAAGGCAAAAATACCACCCAAATAAGAAATACTGTAATACATGCATGTGACCATTCATATTTCAAATTCTCTCTCACAACTAAGCAAATCAATACTTTAAAAAGTTAACAAAGTTTCTAAGCTTACACAACCAACATGAGTAAAGGGGTCACTTGGAGGTCAAATTTCCTGCTCACCCCCTTGTGAATTTCAGTATAAAAAAAACAGAAGTCACACCCCCTCTGGGCCACTTGCACCCAGTTTTGAACTGAGACAAACAAAGCCAAATGACCAGAGTTGCTTCTGTGTCCCTGGGACTCATGACCTGAAGGAAATCACCCAACCTACTGATTTTCGATCGTCTTCTGGCTGAGGAAGCTGGGCAGGTCATCTAAGGTCAAGCTCTGCAATCCAATGACCCTTGAAACTTAACTCTTTCACCACAATACCTATCATTTCTAAGTAAATAGTGTTCGCAGTCCTCTCTGCTAAAATAGGTTAGGTAAATAAAAAGGGAAGATCAGGCTATGTTGTGGGCCTCGGTTATAACCTGGGAACCAGGGCTGAAACACAGTGCTAACGATAAGCAAGCTTCCAGGGTCTACCATTTACAGTTTAAATGCTTTACCGGAGAGGTTAAAAGTTCAAAGTTGAGTCACAGTCTGAGGTCGCCCTGCTCTTCCTTTTTAATTATCTGAGGTCAGGAAGTTAATAATACCAGAAATCCCCAATGGAGACCTCCTGTGAACTTTAAACTCGCCTCTCCCTCCCTCTGTCTCTTTTTTTGAAGTGGGTAAAAAGTTCAGTAGAAACACAGTGGACTTTTCCTCTTAGCCTCCGACCATTCATCCCCTAAGGTCAAAAGTTCACCTGTAAAACAGAAAGCCTTGTTCTCGAATCCACATATAAACAGATCACTTATTAAAAGGTAAACATTCCCAAAGCAAGTCAAAGTCCAAAACGCATCTGTTCAATAAAAATGAAAATATTGTAATAAAGCGAGTCTTTGATCTTTATCGCTTGCCTTGGAATTGAACATCAGACTTCATTTTTTATTTTATTTTATTTAGTCATAGAAAAAGAACATTCTCATGAGCTCTCTGCTCGCCCACTTCTTCCCTGTGATTGGCCTATCTCGGAAAGATAAAACTCAGACATTTTCAAGTAGTTATTTTTACTCTCTTATCTTAAGACAACAGGTTCTATACCTTTTGTGTTTGTTCTTTTTGCTTGCATGGGAATTTAAGAAGCACAGTGTTTCTAAGTCAGAGAAGCGTCAAGTACTGTGGAATTGAGATGTGTTTGCTGAAGATGGTAGGGAATATAGAAACCATAAAGAACCAGGAGCCTCATGAAGCTCATGGGAGTAAGAGACAGGCCAGATCTGACATCATAAATAATTCTACAGCTCAGACATGAAACCCAAGGACAGACACAAAGCTGGAATGGGCACTTAGTGGTGGCAGGGCTTATCCTGACTGGAAACTTTCCACTTGAACATCTTGCAAAGCAAAGGCCTGGTGTGCCCCCTTCTAGACAAGCAAACAGCATAGAGTCCATTGTTTTCAGAACAAGTCACTCATTTTTCTAAATGATCTTACCTATGAGTCACCCCCACTTGGGGTTACTGGATAGACAGGGTCTTACTGTATAACTCAGGCAGGCCTCCAACATGTTGTCCTCCTGCCTCAACCTCCCAAGGTGATGGAATTACAGGGGTTTGCCACCACATTCAGTCAAACACTTGTAGGAAGAATTTTGTCACAACTTATGAATTACATGTGAACACTGCCCCTCGATTTCTACCTCAATCATTTTTGTAACAATTAATAAATACACTTAATTATAGAAAATGACTTATGAAATAAGGATATGTAGCATATATGTATTTTTACACAATGGCTTATGTGATTTGCTGCTAACTTTTAGCACAAAATCAAAACTATATGGAATTCTAAAGAAACTCTGCCTGAGATGGGGTCCCACCAAGAGCAACGTGCCTACTGTCCTCAGGGACTCCTGGATGCAGCTGGATAGCCCAGACCAGGAATGGCCCAGCCAGGAAGGAAGTGAGGGGAGAGCATGGCTTACTTCCTTCTGCTAGGACTCCTTTCTCGACAGCTGTGAGGAAGAATGGAAATTCCTCATGAGTCAATCTGTGACTTCAAAGCATGGGATAAAACTTGAGAGACTTGATTGTATTGATTAGGATGTTGCCCCAAAGGAAGTCACTGTATTTAGGAGGGCATGTAGTGAAAACTAAGTATTAAAATAGTTACTAAAAAGTGACAGGGATTCAGACACCCAGAAGACTTTTGGCTGGTGTCACAAGAGCAACTTCTGGTTTCAGTTCTACTGAAGAGTTACTCATGATTATTTCTGTTCCTTCTTTTTAAATTTTGTCACTACATTTTATTTGAGCTAGCTGTTTCCAACCTTCTGTCTGTGTGAATTCTCCAATTTCAAAACAGGAATTTTCTTCTCATTATTTTTTGTTTTAAAGAAATTATTTTGTGGCAAGGATCACGTTGTCCTCCAAGCATGCTGTCCCTTTTAGACAGAGATAGAATTTGCTTTGCTCAGAGCTAACCACACAGCCTGATGTAGATGTCACGAGGGTCTGAAGTGCTCTTGGGGTCTCCATCTCTTACACGTTCTGATCCCTCTACCTTTGGCACCATACCCTAAACCTAGTCCTCTGCCTCCACATGACTCCTGGTTCACACAGCTCCTCCTCTCTGCTCCCCTCTTCCTTTCTTTGTAAATACCTCTCCTAGCAACTGAGTGGGGAGCTCTATCACAGTAACTGTCCTACCCCGTTTAGTTCATTTGTCTGCCTCTGACAATAAAACACGATCAAGAGGCAGAGGCAGACGCAGACGCAGGTGGATCGCTGTGAGTTCGAGACCAGCCTGGTCTACAAGAGCTAGTTCCAGGACAGCCTCCAAAGTCACAGAGAAACCCTGTCTTGAAAAAACAAAAAACAAACAAAACTAAGCACGATCAAAAACGGAAATATGCATGCAATCCACCGGAAGTTCCCCCTTCTCAAAAGTGAAGCTTCACAGTTTAGAAACAGAATGCATACTTCCAGACAGCAAAACAAAACTACGTATGGCAAAGAGAATCCTCTCACACAGTTCTGCCACAGCGACAGCAGTTCTCCATGAAACCCACATGCTCGTGAAGCTATTTGCTCATCCTTTCCCAGTTTGGGTTTCAGTAGAAAAAAAAATGTTAAATATGAGTTCATAGCTAGAGTTTAAAAGAATCTTGAGGACTATCTCATCCCATTTCTAGAAAATTTGTGCATGCTCTAAAATGAGCCAGTCCAGGTTCTCTGTCCCTAACCTTTCCCTCTTTGGCTATTGCTCACTGAGGGCCGGCTCTGGGCCCTCGCTGTGAATAGTCTCACCTGTACCCTTCCATCTGTGGCTGTCTCCAGAGCTGTCTTTTTAGGAGGAGATGAGTAGGAGGAAAAGATGGGAGCTAAGGAGGAAGACAGAGAGAAAGCCCTCCTGCTTTTGATGTGCTCCTTGTTCCTAGTGGGCTGCGGTGCTCTAACCCGGTGCTGCCAAATTTAGCTTTAAAATCAGGTCTGCATTCCAAATCTGTGCTCACCTCTCCCCATCGCTGACTTTCAGCGACACGGAAAACTTTTCTGCACCTGCATTTTGGCTTTCCTCTCTGTTCTTCAGTGTGGAGGGAATCGGTAGAGGACTCAGTGGAGAAGAGGATCGTTCCATCAGGGGCTCGGAAGGGGTCAGCCAACGGTGCCGATGTGTCCATCTTTCCCTTCACTCTGTGCCTGCACCTTGGTTATTTGTTGGTATCTGTGGTCTCATCACGTCTGCCCTAAGCCATGTCTCCCCTGTGGCACAGTGACACACCTAGGCGTCCCCATGCTCTGTTTCCTGCCGATCCTCCTGTAGGCAGTGTGTATAAAATTCATCCTTCTCCTTTTCCTCACCAGAGATAATCTGGTTAGAGACCAGTACACAGTGCTTCCCATATCCCAGGTTAAATATCGTGGAAGGGTGGGCTAGAACATTCCACTTGTTTTTGCTAGCACCGTAGTTTGTCTACACTTCTAAGACAATGCGAGCTTTGTTGCCAAGTTTCACTGAA